CCCCAAAACCCCAAAACCCCAAAACCCCATCACACTTTATTATAAAATTTCTATGATTATTAAAATAAATTGAGATTAATCAAAATGGAAATATAAGACACATTCAATATTTTAGACAAAAGTTTAGTTCATTAATATCTTTAAATGAGAGGTTTTGATTTATTTGATGATCTATCTGAAAAGCTTTTAGCCTCTAGATCTTATGTAAGGAAGACAAAAGGAATCACTGATGATAATAAGGAAATAGAAACATTTATTATAGAGGAGAGTAATTATAAATAATACGAAAGATATCAAATAATTGTTTCGAAAATGAATTCTCAAGCATAAAAAAAGCTTTAGCTTTAAAACAATTTATAATTATTCACTGAATTAGAAGGTAGATTGTTTGACAGTTATAAATTTGGAGAAAAAATAGGTAGTAAAATTGAAGATAATAAAATAAAGTGGGTTGAAAAATGGGCTGAATTTATTCAAGAGAATATAAATCATAAGTATATGTGCAAGTTTTGGTATCAACTTGGAAATGAGATCCACTTCGAGATTAAATTCTAAAAAGTAAATAACAATATTCTTGAATACGAAAATGTTGAGAAGGGTATTCTTATCTAATCTAGCCGAAGCAATATCGATATGATTGAATTAATGACTTTCAAAATCTATTTTAATTCAGATGAAGCTAAAAAATACGAAAAGGGATTATCATAAAAGATCTCCGATGATAAAATAAATGTTTTGATTGAAAAATGGATTACAGACTATGAAAATGATATATATGAGAAAGAAAAATATCCTAGAAAAATTAATGAACTCAAGTAAGATATTTAGGGAGAAAGAGAAGGCAAGAACTTGCATGGATAATACTGGAATGAGAGATGGTATGGTTCTTGGGATAAAAAATATCAAGGTTGGAAAAAATAAACTTTTGAAGAAAATGAAAGTGTAAGGCTTGAATTGGGAGAAAGTCATGATCAAACAAGTGAAGTTAGCATTCGAAATGAATAGTGGCAAGAAAAACTTGAGAAATAAAATGACTATTGGGAAAATTCCTGGGAATAGATCATTAGCTATGATTAGAATTTGTAAAATTGTGATCTTGTTAGGGAAGGAAAGAAATCTTTCAAAAACAATAGAAGCTATATCTACCAAGAAGAATGGAAAGAATATAAAAGTGGGGAAATCAAAGTAGTTAAATTCAAGGATGATGGGTTTGGATAGAAAAATCATGAATACTATAGCTTATTCAAAAAAGATGATATCATTGAGTATGAGTTAAAATAGGGAAGTATTGAGGATGTGTCCAAAAATGTTAAAGTTGAAATATCTCAAGGTAAAACATTCAAAGGTCTGTATGATGAATGGAATAATGAAAGAATAGTAGATTTCAATTAAGGCTTTGAAAAGGTTAGTAATACCGGAAAAAATCATCTAGGGGAATGGAAAGAAACTTGGGGAGAGTAAAATAATGTTAAATGGGCCTACAAAGAAGGTACAAATTTCTTTACATCTGAACAATGGAAGGAGGAATGGTATGAAAAAAGATCATCTTAAAATGAAATTGAGGAGCATAAAGTTGAGAAATGGGGAAGAAATAATTAGGAAGAATGGAATGAAAAATGGGGAGAAGTCTATAATGGAGATAAAAAAGAAAAATGGGCTGACAAATGGACAGTCGATATTCAGTCAGGATATAAAAGAGGTGTAAATTGGGGTCATTAATTAGATGAAGAATTGAAGCCAAAGCATCATTGGGTGGAATAATGGGACAATAATGGGACTATTGTCAAAAGATAAGAGAACTATTGAATCATTTTACTTATTCTTAATTTCATAAATCTGAGAATAGAAAGCTATTAATTTTAATTCAGTAATATATCAACATGATTGCATATACACACATAAAGTTAATGAAAGCCCCAGTATAAAATCCATACTTTTTCATTTTACTTAGTTAGCTATAATTCGTAATTCTCGCATCAAATATCAAGTAAAACAGCAAAAATACTATTGATACAATAAATCCTAAGAAAATTCCTTTGAAAAAATCAATTTTATTGCCCTCCTTTTCAAGATTTGAAGGGAGCTAATGATATCGAGGCAGAACTAAATCATTCCTCTAGCTGAGAACTGTAGGTATTAGTCTTAGTTCTTCGATTGATTTATTAACGTGCTTGCCCATATTAAGTTGCTTATTTAACCATTTCTCTTCATTCTCAAGCAAACTTTCGCTGGTTTCATTAGTCTTTTCTATTCCACATCTCATCATTATAGAATGAAATTAAAGTCTTATTGAGTGAACCTCAATTTCTGAATATGAATTATTGGCGAGAAGCCTATCAAAGCCTAGTCTTTCTTCTGGGTCATTAGCTAAGGACTAATTATTTGAGTTCTCATTCTACTCAGTTGGCTGATGTACTGGAGCTTAAGTAATAAAAGCGTGTATAAATGCTCCATCCTTTATATCTACGGAAATTATATGGAACAATATTACTAAATTAAGAAAGTGCATCTTGGTCTTGGAGAATTTTACCCTGATATATGAGTCTTATATTTTTACCCTCATCTCTTTCTTTTTAAAATACTCTCTCTTTGATGTCAATTACAAAGTCGACTTTCAAATTTATGGCTATTTTTACAATCTGATTATCTGATTTCTTGATTTTAATGCATATTATATCTTGAGGGGTAGGAATATCTAGCTTTGATGAAGTAGGCGAGTCATAACCTGGTTCATCAACAAATTATTGTTTCTTGCCTTTGTTCATGTTTAAATTATAAAATTACAAATTTTAATTAGAATTATTGAAATATTTAATGGACTTAGAAACAAAAAAGAGTAAAAATTACGATTTAACTTCAAAATAGGATTTTAAGAGTACTTGAACTCGAGAAAGGAGTTTGAAAGTGAGGAGTCTTTGCATTAATACTATCTATCTTATGATTTTACAGAGTAAAATAGTTATCATTAAAAGTGCTTAGAGAAGAGGAGTATTCCTTGGTATTTTGGAGAGATATATTGAGCGAATACTATTAATTTGTCACTCATTAACTTAGTTCTAGAAAATCTGATATTATCAAAGCATTCACTATCCACAATTGAAAACCTACTGGATTATCCAATATCATGGTAAGTACTTTACCAACTATTTTCTCATTATTAAAATAGTAAGAATTATGCAAAAGGAAAGTATTTGCAACTCGTGAACAAATATTGTCAGGCTAGTTTTATGAGGATAACTAGAAGTAAAGCATTTCATCATGGTTCACAGCATCTATATACAACAATACGCTAGGCTATTTATTTGGTTCATCAAACAATGATCAAACTTAAGATGTAATATCTAATTATATAAGCAGTGTAATAGGTAACTGATGATGATGAAGTAGTCAGCTTAGAATATGTCAATAAAAAAGCAGATTCTCTTTTGAGATGGGCAAATACTCTTGACAAGTAAATCTTTAGCGAAAAGTAACTAAGAAAGAATCTACTCAAAATTAAGATGAATGATAAGGACATTGATATCTTGATTACTCATATGAGATTTAAAAATCTTCTAAAACAAACAGAAGTCATCATCAATGGCTAAAAGACGAATCTTATTAAGCTAAATACTTATTAAACAAAAGAAGACATGTCTATAACTGATAAAGAAAAAGCTACATTTGTTCTTTAACAAAATATAGAGCAAATAGACGATAAAATAGATTAACTTCATCTCAAAATTGAAAAGATTAATCAAGATGTTTAGAAATCCATAAAAATGAAAAGCACTAAAAATGGAATCGTTCTCTTGTCATAGCGGAAAAAATTAGTTGCATTTTGGGAAAGGCTTACAACTCAAAAGCATTTGCTTGAGGATTAGCTTATGAATATTGAAGAGCTTTAGAGTTAGAGTGTTATTTATGATGCTTTGAACTTGGCAGAGCAAGCTGGTAAAAGTCTTAATAAAGATATAGACTAATATGAAGATCTTTTTGATAAGATGGAGGAGTAATAGCAAAACTAGAGATAGATCAATGAATTTATTCAAGAAAAGTCTAGCATGAGTAAGGATGAGGAAGCTAGTATATTAAAAGAACTAGAAGAGCTAGAAGCTGGAAACGTGATTGAGGAATTAAACTATAATCCTCTTCCTGTAAAAGAGCCAGCATTTGAAAAGGAAAAATCAAAATAGGACTAACTAGATTAAGAGCTGGAATTGCTTGAATAGTAATTAGCTGAACTCAATGTAGTGGGTGATGATTCAAGCTAATAAACTGAGGCATCTTTAAATAGAAATAATCAAGAGGAGAGTAAAGAGCAAATTGGTCTTGAAAGAAGGAAAACTCTAGTTTACAACTGATTATATAAAATGCTTTTATGAGATATTTTTGCAAAGAACTACTCTTTGTAAAAGAACAAGAGTGTTTACTTCATAAGGTTGCAAATAAAGCTTGTTTTAACCATATAAATAATTAACTTATATATTGTTCACAGAACCAGTCTAATTTAATTTGAAGCGATCTACATTGGTTTATTATCATTGAGTTCTCGCTAAATCCGATTCTCTGTCCTTTCTAATGTAGAATTGATTCAAATTCCTCTATAGATCTAGAACCTCCTCTGGAGTAAAGTTATACTTATCACTCAGTTGTATTAGTAATTTATTGTAGTAAAGTTCACCAGCTAGTCTTTCACCTCCATAAGCTGCGGAAAAAGTTCCTCCAACACATAAGATTGTATGTTTAACCACATTTCTAAAGTATGGAGTTCCTCTACCTCTCAAAAAGTATAATCCACATACTCCCAAAACATACGATACAAAGAACCCTTATCCTGAAAATTTAAATATCTTTGACAATTCTTTTTCCCTCTTGGCTAATAGATCCATATCATTTGGATCAAGACAGTTTGGAAATAGATAAACAACAGACAAGAAACAGTCTAGTCTCTACGCAGCCATTTCCCTCTCAACAGATGATTTCTTTCTCAAGTCCCAAAATGTCATTATTTTAATATTAGTGATTAAAATTATAGTTATTGTTTAAATTCTCAGCCAAGCAATTATTATTAATTATTTAAGACAATGGAAGAAGTATAGAAGCAGAAAACATTTAAATCAAGATCAATCTAGCTCCTAAGTGTTTATATAGTGACAAGAGTACTATTCATTGGATTAGTGGCTCCCACCTCTTATTTATTTTGGAATCGAAAAGGAACACTGAGTGTAAGCTAAAAAATACCTAATTAATTTATTTCATTAGGATGGAAATTTCATTGAAAAGGCAATCAACATTTTGGATGTCTTTGATGGGACTTAATTCATTTAAAATGCTCAGGAATCATTTTAGTATGAAACAAATCACGCATTCTTCCCACTATTCTCTTATCTAATCTCAAGATATTCAAAATTTACTGGCATGAATATTTAAATAGCGGGATTTTTATACCAATTATTTATTGGTTATATTACTTCATTGGTTCTTTATGCGTAAATTTACTTATTGAAATATCAAGTATTATAGATTGGGTAAGAGAGTTCTAATGAATGAAAAATTAGCTTTTAAGGCAGCTATAATTTTCATTGTAAATCATTCTATGGTTTATTAATTGGCTTTATAATCTGAGTTAACTTTTGCCTTCTTTACCTTCTTGGGACTACTGATTATGTTTTGGAGAGTTTAACCTCTCGATATGGTCTAATCAGTGTAATCTAAATTTATCATTCCTGCTACTATTGTTTTCGGAATTTCCATTCTTGCAAGATCAACAGGATTCTTAATGATCGGATTCACAGGGATAGTATTTTTGAAAAAGACAGTTGCTAGGAGTGATAGATTCTTTAAGATCTACAAGTATATCTTTTACTCACTCTGTTCAATCGTAATTATACTTTTGCCTCTTGGAGTTGTTATATTATGGAAGCCATATGTAATGCATTGTGAAACAAAGCTTGACAGAACTGATGCTATCCCTAAGTGGTGTTTAGATCCAGTTCCTAATGTTTACAATTACATTCAAAAAGTCTATTGGTAACTTGCATAATTTCATTCTCATTTCTATAGGGATGTCTAATTTATGGGTTTCTTGCATAGAAAAGCAGAGCATTTCATAGTTGCTCTCCCAATGAACATTTTTGTCTTCTACACTATTTACAGATTCATCTCAGCATAAGGTTGGAATTTCGTGACTTTTGGAATATTTGGTATCAGTGAAAATAAATAACCTAGAATTATTGGCTTCTATGAAAATCCTGCATTAATCTCCTTCGCATGGCATTTTTTTATCACAATGCTGATGATTATAACAATGGCTAATATTGATGTAAGAGCTACAATCTTTTAACCTAAATAGATTAATTCTAGAGTTGCTAGCACTAATGTTCTTTATTACTGGGGTTTTGCTCATTTAATAGAGGAATATTAAAGAGGTCATCAAACAAACGGTGGAAAATTTGTGACTATTCTTATGATGATACATAATCTATATTATATGGTTCACAATTTTCAATGGTTTGTCCAAGAAATTAGTTTTGTTTGATCTATAAATTTTGAATTTTTTCTGTCTTATGGGGTTTTGGGGTTTTGGGGTTTTGGGG